GGGGGCGGGGGGGCAGGGCCTGCTCCAGGCAGAGCCGGGGGACAGACCCAGCTCCGCATAGTGGTGGAGCAGGGCCCCGGCTCTGTAACTGGCCAGCACTTCCAGGTGCAGGGGCGCGGGGCCCGATTCGGCCTAAGGCCAGCCCTGCTACCTGTCACTTGGCTTGTTTGCTCCGTGGGGATATTCTCTGGGGACACTGAGTCTGTCTGATCTCCACAGGAGACAGCCAGAACTGAGCCTGCCAGATCAGTATTCTCCACCAGTGCTGGTGGAGCCGGGCTCTGCGCTGAAGGCCATGGCCATCACGTACCTTGATGTGCTGCAGAGCTTTCTCTGCTGCTCCAGCCTCCAGCAGCGTGACCGTGCAGCCTCCAAAGCCTCCGCCAGTCATCCTGCTGCCGTAAACCCCGCTGACCTCCAGCGCTGCCACGACCAGCTCATCCAGCTCAGGACAGCTGACCTCATAATCATCCCTGGGTAACACACGCCAGGGTCACGCTGCTGCACAGCCTGCATTAGCGTAGGCAGTCCCTGTACACACACTTCCAACAGGCCCGGCCCCAGAGCACTGGGTAACTGGCCACAAGCATACATGGAGAGCAGGGGCAGAGGCCTCCTGGATCCTCTGGTACAGACCGACCCCAAGGGCATAGGACACACTCTTATCTGCAATTATTCCTAAAGCCCATCGCTTATTGCAGGCTGCTCCTCTCAGGAAGGCTGAGCGGCAGGAGAGCCGAGGCAGGACTAAGGATGCAATAGTGTAGTCAATTAACTGATTAGCATTAACCTATAAGCTTGTGCTTTAGACTACACGCATTTCCCCTCTCTCCCTCCACCCCCCCCCCCAGTAAATTTTTTAGCAGGCTGGCCAGCAGCCCAGCTCAGTCCCGGCTTGCACTGGGCCCTGGACCAAACCCCGGTGTGGCTCTGCATTTAAAGTGTATTTGGAGCCAGGTGGGCAGGCAGCCCGGCTCAATTCCAGCTCGTGCTGGGTCCAGGAGCTCAGACCCCTCCCGCCGGCCTGGAGACTATAGAATGATCGATTACCCAATAAGAATCCAGGAGGTTACTCAACTATTCAATTAACCGATATTTAACATCCCTAGGCAGGACATTGCATGGGAAACCGTGTGGTTCCCAACTGCTCTTGTGTCCTACGCATAGGCCATGCGAGCTCTTGGTACCCTACCCCCCGGCTGGAGTGTCCCTATCCCACCCGACTGGCACTGCTCCTACCGGAGAGAGTTGTGACTCTCCACCATCAGCCTTCCGAACGTGCCGTAGTCCCTGGCCTGCAGCGCCTGCACCGCCCGGGAGGTGCGCTCTATTTCTCCGATGACGTGCCTCGCTCGCCGGTACACCTCCTCGCTCAGCAGGGCCTGGGCAGCTGGAGACGCACAACGCTGGACTAAGAAGTGCCCAAGGCCTAGAGAAGGGGTGGGCAATTTGGCCTGCCAAGCCAGCTGATTGGGCGCATGGAGGCCCTGCCACTTCCTCTGCCCCCAGGCCAATCAGGGCCTGCGGGCGGGGAGGACACACGCAACGTCTCCTCCTGCCCTGCAAGCAGTGTGCGGGGCTTAGAAGCGCCACACGCTCCTGGAAGGGCAGGAGGAGACTTTGCATGTTCCCGCACCTCCAAGCCCTGATTGACCTGGGGTGGGAGGGAGAGCGCACGAAGTCTCCTCCTACCCTGCAAGGAGTGTGGTGCTTCTAAGGACGGGGGCAGGGAGGGAGGAGACTTTGCGTGCTCCCCCTGTTCCCAGGCCAATCAGGGCTTGGGGGCAAGGGGAGCGAATGAAGTCTCCCATCCTGTAAGGGGCTCTGCACTTAAAGTCAACTGTCAGCTGCTGCTCAGCTGGTGGCTGAATCTAAGCGCGGTGCTCCCTTGCAGGGCGGGGCAGGGAGTGAGAGACATCATGTGCCCCCCCTCTGCTGGGCCTGCAGGCAGCAGGGGGGAGCACGCAAAGGCCCCTCCCACCACCAGGGGCACAGGTACCTAGAGGGAAGCGCCAGCTGTTCGGAACAGCCAGCAGTTCTCTTTGAGGGGGGGGCAAAGACTTTGCGCGCTCCCCCACCTGAAGACCAATCAGGGTCTGTGGGTGGGGAAGTATGGAAGTGGCCTGGCCCCACCCCTTCTGCCTGAGGTCCCACCCCTTCTGGGACGGCCTGGGGCTACGTCAAAAATTTCTGAAGCAGCCCCCAGTCAAAAATTATTGCCCACCCCTGGCCTTGAGCTTCCCAACAGAACCAGCTGCAATGGAGCCCCACATAGCCCAGCACCTTCCAAGTTCACTTCTCTCTGTGCCCCCTGCACATGCAGTTCCTGTCCTTCACCCGCCAGGCACCACGCTCACTCCCCTGCCCCCGCGTCCCCCCCGGCTCACAAGGTTTACAGCAGCCCATTCGGGTCACCCATGGAAGATGTGGCACGCACCCTCCAAGTCAGCCATAGAGGCCTCCCTCAGACTGGCCTTGCCCAGAGCCTTGGCTGCCTCCTCGCACTGGTGCCGGCGTGTGGGGTACTCGCTGCCCGTCAGCGCGTGCCGCACGTTGGAGTTGGTGATGAGAACCACTAAGCTGGGGTCGGTCAAAGGCACGAGGAGAGTCTCCAGCGACCTGGAACAGAGGTCACAGCAGGGTCACAGGGACGGGGTTTCCCATTTCCTTCCACGCCCCTGACGAGCTGGGAGCTGCACTGGAGTAACCCCTGGCGCACCTCAGGAGCCTGCAAGGTTACGGATGCCACACACAGGCTCAGAGCCACCCAGGAACGATGCCAGCCTTAGAACGGCTCTCCAGCCATGGAGCTGGGAGCATGGCATCCAAGTGGGCAGAGATGAGGTGGCAGGACGCTGCAGGCCCATCATCTGCCCACTGGTATTGCAGTGTCAGCCACAGGCCAGTCAGGGCTCCACTTTGCTAGGCCGTCCCCCCACAGGGCTTACAATCCACATCAACTACCCCACTATCTGGTGCTCTCCAGTGTAACCTTAGGCTCTCTGAGGCTGCCATTGTTTTGGTGTTTGTAGCACAACAGGGCCCAGCCTGGTTGTGGCCCATAGGCACTACTGCCCTGGAAATGTTCCAGCGGTGACAGGAATTCCTGGCTCTCCAAGCGTGGGTTTTACCAGCCACGATCCTGTCAGGGTTCTACGGGAGAAGTCATTCCATCCCCACCGTAACCCCGCGGAAGGCTATCCTGCATCCACAGCCATGGAGCCATCTTGTGGCCTTATGGCAAGATCTCCATGTTCTCTGTCCAAACGGCTCAGTCCTCAAAGCCGGGGAGCGCGGGATAACGGGGATTGTGACCCGTTGTCACTGGCTGAAGGTCATGGGTTGCTGCAAGGTCCAGTGGGGAGCAGCTCACCTTGCTGTCCAAGTCCCCAGCGCGATTGGCCCTTGCCCAGCCAGCATACCCAGGAGTTGCACTCCACAGCTTGGGACAAGGAAGTGATTCTACTCTGTGGGAGGCAGCGAGGTCTAGTGGGCAGAACACAGGACTGAGAAGCAGGAGACCTGGGCTGTAATCCCAGCGCTGCTGGGGTCACATGGGGGGTAAAGGATAAATTCTCGTGTATGCTGAGGATCCTTTATGCTGCTCTGTGTCTATAATTCACTTCCACTTCCAACGCCCTTTATACTGCCAAAGTGGTAGAAAGGAGCATTAATGGACCAGAGTGTCTGGCCCTGCACCTCTCCACACCTCTGTTATGAGGCTTTGTGGACAGATGGCTCCTGGGAGGGAAGGTGCTGTACGAGTGCAGAGGATCCCCGTGAGATGGTACCGTAAGCTAAAGCTACGAATGCATGTCCTGACCTGCAGTCTATCAGCAACGCGTGGCCCTCTTTGCCCATCACAGATATAAACTGGTCCATGATCCCACATGGCATATTAGCAAAGGTGTGCTCAGCCTTCTGGCAGGCCAGTGCCTTGGCTACTAAGTCCCCATCATCTGTGCCAAAGGAGAAAGAGCTGGATTAGCCTGGTGCCTGCTTCGAGCCATTTCCCATCCTGCCCAAGAGACCCAGGGACGGGGTAAAGCTCATTTTCCCTTTCTGCAGCCGTAGAATTACAGCTAGAGATCATGTCCTAGCTAAGCCTTGGAGTCTGAGCTGCTGAAATTGTCCAAATCCCAGTTCCGTAGCTTGAACCCATCTCTGCTAATCACCTTTGTACTGTGCAAGCCCAGGGAATTGCAGCCTGGGTGGAATTCAATCCCCCCATACTGTGCAAGGCCTCAGAACAGGGTTCAAAGGAAGGGGACATGGCAAATTCCGTGGTTAATTCTGTGACTGATCATGTACCCGATGGAGTCACAAGGGATCTTCCCCACCCCCTGCGCCACACCGCACAATCTAGGTGCACTCTTCCCTGGGGGTGGGGCAAATTCATCTTCTCAAGTGGCACGTGATGGCCACTATCACAGAGAGGGTAGCAGGCTGCATGGGCCAATCCAGCCACCACATGCTGGTGCCAATTCTTCAGCCAGACTCTGATTTGCCGGACCACCTTCGCGGGGAGAGGAGGAAGTGCCGCTTTGTTCTCACACTTGCTCCCAAAAGACCATTCTCCACCCTTCCTGGGTAACCCAAAGACCTTCCTAGTTGATTCTCAATGGGCAGCAAGTTACTATTAGTCCTATGGAGAGTTAGCCAGGGACCTGGAGTGACCCCGCTGGAAGCTTTGGGTGGGGAAGGCGAGAACTGGAATCAAAGCATCTCCTGCAGTGTCTCTTGGCCAGACCTAAGCTGGGCACAGGGGATCCCAGAAGGGAATTTGCAGAGCTGGGAGCTGATGAGCCAGCTCCTGTTACCTGGGCAGAGCTGCTGCAGAAAGGTATACACGGCCACTTCCAGAGAGGCTGAGCTGGACAGGCCACCACCCAGCGGGACGTCACTGGCTATCACTGCACTGAAGCCTGGGACAGGACCAGCTGGAACGGAGACAAAACCAGGGGGAGAAGAAGACTAACCCCATCCAGAGACAAGACAGAAAATGGAGCAGACTTGGACTGGTGCCACAGGAGAGAGGTTGGGGGAACCTGGTCCAGTTTAGAAAGGCTGGTACTGCTCAGGCTGAGTCTGAGCAGATGGAGGGCAGCTGAAGGCTGTTGCAGCAGCCTCAGGGAGAGGAAAGGGCAGTGGAGAAAGAGATCCCTCGCTCAGACCCTGCTGGGAGCAGGAAGGCTGCATGGTGGCGGTGGAGAGATGGCATCTGGGTTTCAGGCACTCTCTCATAGTCGCAGATAAGACACGAATTGAGCAGGGACCAGCTGGGTGAGGCTACAGCTGCTCCTAGTTCTGTCCCTGTCCCACTGGAACAGCCACCCTCCCAACAGCCCCCACTGTCTGCCCAGAGCCTGCAGGCACGTTGCTGACCAAGCAGCTCTCCTGCCACTCAGGTGCCTTGGAGCCTTACCCCGGTAATGCTGGATCACGCCCTTCACATAGTTGGCCCAGTGAGGCACTCCGGGCCTCAGGGGGTTTCCTTCTGTCGGAGCTGGAAACTGCACCGTTTTGGGCTCCTCTGCCTGCTCCGCGATGGTAGTGATGGAGATTGTTCCGTCCTGCCTCGGGCTCCCCACCAGCACAGTCCCCAGCTGCAGAGCCTGCGGAGAGAGACGCCGGCTGAACCCCCCAGTGCTACAGGGAACGAGGGATCCCTGCAATGCATCCAACCGAGCTAGCCAAGGGTCTCGGCGTGCAGGCTGGGATCCTGCTCCCACTGGCCCTAGGAAGCAGGA